ATCGACGTTGTTTTTCCCTTTTTTCATTTTATTTCTTATCTTAACCATGTAAAAAGTGCCACGTCTAAACTTTTTTTAGCTTTAAACTCCATAAAAGCATTAAGATAAAAATGGCTCAAAGCGACTGTACGTTTTTATATTTTGTTATTCTAACAAAAAAATCCCATAAATAAATTTAATTGTGTTCTAATAACACATATACGTAATATGAAGGTCGATTGAGTATAATCAATCTTGGATGATCGTTCAGACGTTCCAAATATATAATTTCTATAAATATTCACCTTTGTATAATGGAAAAATATTGACAAAACTTAAAATGGTTTGCAGCCAGTGAAACAATCTTTACATATATGTTGTTTTCCCAGAATTTGCCGTAGTTAGATGAGCTTCTTATCAATTGAAAAATTTTTATCTTATGTTCTTTCATCTTAGTAAATGTTCGATTCTTGAATTGGGTGTATCTGTAGATAAACCAATCGCACATTCCATAAATTTGAGTTGCTTGAAGTACCTTCTAGATGAATTCTTATAAGAATTCAATCTTATTACCATCTTCTAAGAAAAGGCTTATTAGTTTAAACTTGATCCAGGAGAGTCTACATTAAATTTGAAATTGTTTTGGGCTTTAAATTTGATGTGCGTTCTTTCAAATTAATATCAAAGTAATAAATCATTTATTACCAGATGGTAACAGCCCCATCAGATAAGTCTCCTGAAAAATGCATTAAAATTTTGTTACAAAGGCATTCCAACGATTTCTTAAACAAGTCAAAATGTGTAAAGTTTTTTCAAGATTTATGTATTTCTATCTGTTTTCATCGTGATTTTCACGAGCAGTACCATTTTGAAAGGCTAAAACGCGTATTTTCTGTATTACTTTTGTCTCTTTCTTCTCTTGCATGTACTTTGGAATCGTACTCTCGATGTACCCTCCTCTCGTACGTTGTATTAACCATAATTGTAACCTAACCTTTGCTTTTCTCTGACTTTGCTCTTAAACTCATATTTTTCTGTTATTGTGTTTACTGTATTTTTCAAGGTCCTTCTATGCTAAGATATAGTATATGAGGAGAGGGAAAAATACGGCACAGTACGATTTTACTTACACTAGTAAAGTATTAGGCTAATAGTTCTTGAGCTGTGCCTATTACACCTAAAATCGTCACAGCAATATCAATCTGGTTTTTCTTTTTCACGCTTTACTCCGTGAAATCCAGCACAGAATAAATGATATCGATAAAACATTAAAAAGTGTTCAAACCATAATGTTTAGTCAGAATTATCAACGTTTTTCATAGTATAATACGTAGATGATGTATATGCTAAATGATAGCAACATTGTAACATATAGATTAAGACGTTTTTGAACAGTTTTTAGTCTATTCAAGTAACAATGTACAACCAAAAGTATGAGGATTAGTGATGAAGTTTCATCTATCACATGCTAATGTATGTAACATTTCAATGTTCAATGTCTCGAATGTGATCTTCCACGAATAGAATTGATTGCTTTTGTCTAGCTAATGGTTCCATGGTGAAGAACACTGAATACCATAAGAACCAGCTCCTCGAGCTCTATTGACTAGAATAACTCTCGATTGAATCTGCAATTAACACTTCGGACAGTTCACTCGTTAGAAGAATAAAAAATCATTTTTTAAAAATTATAAAAAACCACAGCATTGTTAAAGAAGCCCGATTACTTTTTTCTTTTATTTATGTAAAAGTTGATGCCTTTTTCTATCAGTTATTCGATTAACGCGTCCATATATTTGTTTTCTCAAAGTTCAAAATGTGATTCAGACCTGTGTGGGGTGTGTGTATGCTGAGTGCGTTAAGAGAAGAGCCACACCTGCAGTTTCAATTCCCAGCATGAAAAATCTAAATGGATGCGTTAAATAGTGAACTCATTTGATTGATCCAGTCTTCATTACGATGAATCTCATTCTTTCAATATTTTAAAATCTTCAGGAATACCTGTCCATATCACTATACATTTGTTAGCAAACATAGAAACATAGCCACAAACTCGTTTCATTTCTTACGACCTTCCATACAGTCGAAGAAAAGTTGTCCTTAGTAGACGATGCCGGTTTCCAAAGATCTGCGTGAATGTCTGTTAATTTTAGTCAATATCACATGCATGCAAAGCTTCTAACGATTTTGCCTGGATCCTATTGGGGTCTTTCTTGGGAGACCTTGACATAACTTCCCCTGAACCTAACATAGGTGGCGGAACGTGGAGGTTGGGTGAGGTACAAGCCTTACCCGATTAAGTTTTTGAGGCTTGTTCGCACTAAGTTTCCTCTTTGCTTGGCTAGACAAATATTCATTTATTGAAATGATCAGAACTTTTCACGTGTTGTTTTATATACTGTGATGAAGAAAATGGAAAAGTGAGATGAGAGTAAAGCTCACTATCAACAGTGATCTGATTTTTAGAGACATCTTTTATTTTATTCACATAGAGTGATACGTGAACTATACCAATCGCAGATTTATGCGTTCAAAGCAACTAAACTGGCTACATCCGATCTGAGCGCTCATCTTTTCTTTTATGATATTATAGTTCAAAATAGTTTACTACTTGAGCTACGCTCGGTTTAATGCCAAAGCAATACGCTACGGCCTTTTAGATAATATATAAACTTCTGTTGAACCTTACCCCATTCGGAAATGTTCCGCCGTCCCTGAAACCTAATATAATCTCGTTTGCATCTCCTATTCGAGTATTGGCAAGATTCTTTGAAAGATTTGCAGTCATTGTGTAGAAAATCATGTGATTAAGCGCTTTGTTGCTCCATCCAAAAACATCTTGAAACCTGCATACTAGATGTTTAGATTGTTCCGAAATTCACACCAATTACGATGCACATTTGTTTGTCAAGGATGCGAAACCCACATTCATGAGGTCCTCCTAACAGGACCCAGATAGGCCATTTTCAGCACGTTTACAGTGTCGGAGTGTAACAGAATTCATCATTTTATTATTTAAATCCATGTCTGAAGTTCATAGAAATTTGTCCAGGGCATAGCCTTGTTGATACAGTTTCTGAAAATGGCAAAAAGATTCTGCATTTACGATTGCGAATAAAATTCTCAGATTCCTATATTTTTCTATTTAGAGCAGTTGAACAGCACCATTGTCAATGAACGAAGAAAGTTTAATCAAACAACTCAAGATTTGAACAATCAACTTGCCCGTTGTCTAAGAGAGAAAAGTAAGATAAATATTATGCTGGTTTGAGTCATTGTATGAGAATCACAAGCTATCTTGCAGAATCGAAAATCTCAGATCTATCTGAACACTATCTGAACACCTTCTCATTGTCTCACCTGCTTCCTTTCTAGGCAGAAAAATAAGTCTTCAGACTTTCGAGTTTTTTCAAAATAACGGGGCAGGTTCGCATGCTAAATTGATCGAAATAGTTCTAACAGTTGACATTTAGAAAAAAATTTAAAGATCAAATCATATGCAATGCATGCAAATTTATTTTGTTTCCTCGAATAAATAATTCTAATTACAAGGTGACTGGACATTTGACTAAAATAGTCTTTCTTCTGTTGAAATATAAAACGAAGGGATATATTTCATTTATCATTTTAAGAGAGCTGAACGAGTAAAAGAGATGAATGTAAGTTTGAAGTCTATAGCTTCCACTCTTTACATTTTAGGATAAGTAAAAAATTGAAAAAGTCACACGAATTTATGCGATGTCAAGTTTTGGATGGGTGTAAGTGTGTGGATGTACCAACACCCATATCTACACACCCACTCACACCCAGCTATCTATTTCGACTATGCTTCTTTTCGACAATGTTTGTTTCGACGTCAGTTTCGGCGATCTCACTTTTTTGTGACTTCGTTTTCGGTGATGAACATTACATTGAAACTGAAGAGTTGACTTCGGCAGCAGAAATAGGGTCACTGAAAAGAGCCAAATCAACAGTAATGCTATCGATCTCATCATCGCATTGTAAGAATATTTGCACTGCGTTAAACAAAAAGCTGATCAACAGACATCCTAGTAACTGTGATTTAGTTGGCAAATGTTGGTGTTCGTTGACTATTTGGATGTTCCGTGCTCTTTATGAATAACATTCGCATTTGACAACTGAGATGGGAAACATATTAGGCGATTTGATCTGATAATAAGTCGTATTAAAGATTTCGTGCAGTCTTTGAAACAAAAGAATTCAAGTAATTAAGAATTTTTCTGATTTCAAAAAAAGATGAGTTGCCAATGGCAAAGAATTTATATATTCAAGTTTAGTTTATAATGCTTCCAATACTATTATAGTTTATTCGAAAGAGAAATAGTCTACTTCATTTGTTTTGTGTCACAACAAATAGATGTGAATACATTATATATGACAAGTAACTACCGAGCATGTTATTATCTCTTTGCGTGACAAGCTTTTGGTTTGTATTTCTTTTTTTCTGTTCTAAATTGAATATAATAATGTTCTCAGCAATTTTCATAAAGACTTGGTCTTTATCTGGAAAAACAAAGATTTTTGAGTCTACGATCCATAGCATAGGACAAGTTTGACATTAAAATATTGGATAAATCATGTTTCGATCGGAATCAGGAATAGAATAGTCAACAGAACACGATTTGCAATAAAAAAGAATCACACCATAATCTACTTGATTTCAAT